GCTAGAATCGGAGAACCATCTTCAAAAGCTGAAGCTGCAAGTCGAAAGAATAGCCACAGAGCAAGCGCTGCAACTTCCGAAAAATCCTTCTCACGCCTCAGAACGCGCAACTGGTCTCTTACAAAACATCGATTGGGAATCACATGGGATGGCAAACTATGTAGGCATCGACAATGATAGCTCGCAAAGGCAGGATATACTGTTCGAACCCAACGTAGCTGAAAAAATCTATCCTAGAGAGAGAAATTTTAGAGTCGGCTTCTCAGCTGGTGGTGGTGGATTTGTGTCGAGTATACGAAGTTATATGGACTCGACGGAGTTAATGGTTTTTGCAGCGAGAGGTTTATTCGAAAATCATAGAACAAACGAGTGTTTAGGTAGTGTAGATGGAGTTAGTCCTTTGAAGGTGTGGAACAATATTTGGAAGTCTGTTTCTGGGAATGATCATTTCCCTCTTAATTCGGTTCTCACTGATGCAATGAGACGTTGAAACTTCACCCCGGAATTGAATGCTTATCAATTTTGTTTATTTTATGTTTCTGGGAATATATTCTCATACATATATTATGGCGGTGTTTGCAAAAGCTTTTTGTAAAAAATAAAAGTTGGTGATTGTGAGTAAATTCTTTAAAGAATCAACTTTAAGCGGTTCATTTAACAGCAGCAGGTATTTGCAAATTAATTTTATTTTGGGGAAATATGTAAACAAACCCCTCAAATGAGAAATATTTTGAATTAAACTCAGTTGAATTTAAAAACTTTCTTCATAACCCAAATGTAAATTTAAATTAGTGAGCCCCTTGAAAATATGTTATCCCTACTTTATCCTATTAATACACACCCCAAGTTCTAACCCTAGATCTCAAACCTACAATCTCTTTTTATTCATAACCCAAATGTAAATTTAAATTAGTGAGCCCCCTTGAAAATATGTTATCCCTACTTTATCCTATTAATACACACCCCAAGTTCTAACCCTAGATCTCAAACCTACAATCTCTTTTTATTCATAACCCAAATGTAAATTTAAATTAGTGACCCCCCCTTGAAAATATGTTATCCCTACTTTATCCTATTAATACACATCCTAAGTTCTAACCCTAGATCTCAAACGCACAATCTCTTTTTATTTCTCGTTATTCTCTCTTTGTTCTTCTCCCAGCCTATCATCAACATCAACCCACAATTCTCGTTATTCTCTCTTTCTCTCAATTTATGTATCTATCTCCTCTCGATCTCTCTCGACGTCGGCGACGGGAGGCCGACGACGGCGGCCGGAGAAGGTGCGATTGCTAGGCAAGTGCACACAAATCGACGAATGGTGGAGAAACGGTGACGATGCGGGAGGCGATGGAGGAGGCGGCGGCGAAATTCTGATATGAGGGCACACACGCAGTTGTACTGTTGAGTCCTCCACCACCAGCGCTGCCGCCACTGCCGCCAAGATCCGAGTCTACTTTGTGAAAATGTGTAGAATCAAACCTGTGATGTCATGTGTTTAATTTCTTCCCTTTTGCTTTTATTTTCTGCAAATGAGTTTGGTTTCAAGTTGCAATTATAGGACTCTCTAGCAAGTAAAAGGAGGGACATCATACATTTTTTACTCTCGTTTATTCAGTAAAAGGTATAGGTCAGTCTTTTGAAATTGGCAATTAATTTTAATTGCTATTTCATAAGACCAGACCAATACAATATTCTGAATTATCATGAGTCAAAAATGTAAGGAGTACCACCTAACA